CCTTCCTTCCTTCCTTCCTTCCTTCCTTCCTTCCTTCCTTCCTTCCTCCGTTTCTTTCTTTTCTTCCTTTGTTTTTCTTCCTTATTTTGGTCTAGCTTCTGCATATAAAAGAAAACATATGACCTTTGACTTTGTGGTTCTGATTTATTTCACTTAACATTCATCCATTTACCAACAAATGACATAATTTTATTCTTTATGGCTAAGTAAAACTGTATTATGTGTGTGTGTGTATGTATGTGTGTGTTTGAATGTGTGTGCGTATTTTATATATATATATATATAATCACATTTTCTTAATCCATTCTTCTGTTGACAGAATCCTAGGCTGTTTCCAAGTTTGGCTATTGTGAATTTCACTTCTGTAGACATTGATCTGGCTGCATCCTTATAGCATGCTGATTTTAGATCTTTTGTATAAATATGAAATCATATGGTGATTCCCTTTCAAGTTTTTTGAGGCATGTCCATACTGCTTTCCAGAGTGGTTGTTCTAATTTGCAGTTCCACCAACAATATATAAATGTACCTTTTCCCCCACATTCTCACCCAAATGATGATTGACATTCTGACTGGAGTGAGATTAAATCTCAGTGTAGTTTTGATTTGCATTTCCCCGATTGCTAGAGACATTGAATATGTTTCATATATTAGTGACCATTTATATTCTTTGAGAAGTGTCTCTTTAGTTCTTTTGTCCACTTATTGAGTTAATTGGTTGTTTCATGTTAAGTTTTTGAGTTCTTACATATTCTGGGCATTAATCCCCTATATGAGGAGCAGGTGGCAAAGATCTTTCATTCCTCTTCTTGCTCAGAATAACTTCATATTTTTTATTATTTACTGTTTATTTTACTTTATTGTTTACTAAAAAGCAGAAGCTTTTTAATTTGATGTCATTTCACTTATAGATTCTTAGTTTTATATCTTATGTTTTAGGAGTCTTGTTAAGGAAGTTGATATCTGTGCCAATATATTGGAGTGTTAAGCCTACATTTTCTTCTAGCAGTTGCAGAATTTCTGGTCTAATTCTTAGATCTTTGTTCCACTTTGATTTGACTTTTGTGAAGGAAGAGATATAGGGATCAAGTTTCATTCTTCTTCATATTGATATCCAGTTTTCCCAGCACCATTTGTTAGAAGGCTATCTTCTCCAACATAAGGTTTTGGCACCTTTGTTAAATATCAGATGATTAAGTATGTAGGGTTGTCTCTGTGTCTTCTATTCTATTGGTCTGAATATCTGTTTTGTGTCAAAACCATGCTGTTTTTGTTACTACATCTCTGTAGTATAATTTGAAGTTCAGTATTATGATGCCTCCAGCATTCCTCTTCTTGCTCAGAATAACTTTGACTATTCTGCATCTCTCATTCTTCCAAAAATTTTTGAACTATTTTTCTACTTCTGTAACAAATTTCATTGGTATTTTTATGGTGGATTTCATTGAATTTGTGTAACACTTTTGTTAGTATGGCCATTTTTAAAATATTAATTCTGCCTTTCCAAGAACATAGGGGGTCTTTCCATCTTTTAAGGTCTTCTTCAATTTCTTTCCTCTATATTCTATAGTTTTCATTGTAGAGGTCCTTCACATTCTTGGTTAAATTTACTCCAAAGTATTTATTTTTTAAAAAAAATATTCTTATTTATCTATTTTTATGTGGTGCTGAGAATTGAACCTAGGGCCTTGCACATGCTAGGCAAGTGCTGTACCGCTGAGCCACAACCCCAGCCCCAAGGTATTTAATTTTTTGAGGTTATTGTGGATGTGATAGCTTTCATAATTAAACATTTTAATGGGAAGGTAAATTAGCCCATTCTGTGCGGTTAAATTCAATGTTGTTTTCAAAGATTTAAAAATCCTTATAATTCTTCATAAACATAGTAAAATTTCAGCTTCACCAAATCCATGCATTGTTCTGATGAATTTAATTTAGGATAAATTAGGATTTTAGCTACATATTCTTTTTTTCATAGACTCTTCAATTTTATTGTTGTTTTTTCACTCCCCTCCCTGAGTCTTGTTCTGTTGCACAGGCTGGGCTTGGACTTGAGATTTCCTGCCTCAGCTTCCCAAATAGCTGTATCAGTTTTCTTTGATAAGCAAAGCAGTAAACAATAACAAACATAAAGACAAAATCATGGCATCTGAAAAGGTCATAATAATTTCCATAATCAGTAGTTAGATTTGCTTAGAGACACTTAAAACTGTTAAGTTAGTCAATAAATATTTATTGATCACTTGCTATGTGAAAGGCCCTGTATTGTTTCTTGGGATACAGTGGTGTGGTGTACAAGACAAATTTTAGCCTTTATAGGGCTTATGGCATTGTGCATAGTTTCATCCATAATTTTATCCATAGATAATTTTATCCATAGATAATCCATAATAATTCCTCAGTAATGAGGCATTCCTTTTGTTGGTTTCTGATGCTACTTGTTGGATAATGATTTATCAATACATTTTAATTTTAATAGATAAGCAATATTCTTAATTTATGAAATATTATTTTTTATATTAAACTGAATTTACCCTTCTTGACTTATAAACATTAGTTATTATTTTGCCATACAAACTTTGGATAAATCCACCAGAGCAACCTCTGCCCTTTCCTTCCCTTTGTAGGACAGCTCTTGAGGGAGAGACTTTTCAGTATGTTGAGGAAACAATCCTGGCTGTGAAGCTTCTGTGGAAGAACACTATGGTTCCTTTCATCATTTCTTGTTTGACATGGTTTTAAAATCATATACCATCCTGATTGCTTTCCTCTGGATGCTTTCTACTTTGTCACTCTTTGTTGTTAAAAATAAATTACTCCCAATTTCCTGCTTTCAATAGAGAAGAGTGAACATAATTGACTCTTTGATGTGTGAGGGTCTGGTTTGGTCAGAAAGCAATTATACTGACCTTGAATTCTGTACTGTAAATATCATTATAGAATAAGAAGGAGCTTATACTAAATCTTTATCAAACTTTTCATATATCTTGGAAGATTTCTTTTGAAAATATGAGTTTATTTTCTTATTTATTTCTCAGTATTGAAATAAACTTTATTTAGATAACAAAGATCAAAAGATAAATCATGATTACTTTTGAAATTCTTCATGCAGTTAATGTATCTTCTCCAGATTATGAACCTCTTGAGAGCAAGGATTATGTTTTATTTGTTTTTAAAAATCTCTGATACTTAGCACAGTCATACACACACACACACACACACACACACACACACACACCACATTGATATGAAAAATGTCCAATTTTGGTGACCAATTGATATAAAATGAAATGAATTTCAGTTTTTAAAATACATTGAAGTATCTGACATATAGAATTGGACCACATTTTGTCCTGACTTAAAAAGGGTAACCTTAGTAAATTAATTAACAGTACACACAGAAAAATGCTGGTGTTTTGGATGGTAATAATTTTAACTTTAAATGACAGAAAATGCTTGCCTCAGCTCTATGAACAAAATTGCATCAAGACAGGAGACTGAATATAGCCTCAGCTCTGAAAATGCCTCCATATAAGCTTCTTCTCTGAGGAAAATATTTTCCTAAAAGCCTCCCATCAAACTTCTGCTATGTATAAATGGCCAATGTTTCATCATGTGGCTCTTTCATAAGAGGCAAGCAAAGTTGAAATGACTGTTGATTAAACAATAGTTTGTACCACAAGTGGAAAAAATTCATACATTACAAGAAGAAGGGAAGACTTTACTAGTTCAGGAACAAATTCAGGGAAACTAAGTTAGAAGATGGCTTTTAAAATCATCACTGGTGATGCTGGATCATACAGTTCAAGCAAATTAATCGCCAGCTATCAATCACTTTTGGAAGATCTGATGAACCTGAGTATCTTTTCTAGTTTTTGTGAATCATAAGAGACTTTGTCTTTATTATAAAGCTGTTTGTTTCCCCCCTCCTTTTCAGGAGTCCTATCCAAAGAAGAGGAATTATACTATGGAAATTGTACCATCTGCTTCTCTGGATACTTTTCCTTCAGAAAATGAGAACTTTCTATGTGATCTCATGGACACAGCTGTTACAAAGAAACCGTGTTCCTTAGAAATTGCAAGGGCACCTTCCCCAAGAACTGGTAATATTTCCTACTCACAATTGGGCCAATTCAATTTGCATGTTTACATAAGTGAATATTATTATTTTGATTTCACATTACATGATCAATATGAAAGTGCCCCAATACACTCCCAGTAATCATTTTTGCATTTTAAAGTGAGTAAAGGTAAGTTAGGGAATTTTTTATGTGAAATCTTTTGACTGTAGATAAAAGCCCTTCATGGGGATTATTTTGCCTTGATGAAGACACTTTGAAAGTTTTCAATGATGAAAAACCTTGGTCAGAGATAAAGCTTGGGTTCTTAGAACTTCATAGATGATTTGGTAGCAAGAGTCTCTACATAATTTTTGGTAGGATATCTGTTTCTAAGTTATCAAAATGCACTTAGCTTACTTAGTATTTTACATCTTTTATGGCATTTTCAGATCCATTATTGTTTCATATTGAAAACTAGTGAATAAGGCAAGACAAATACTATTCACATTTTGCTGCTAAGGAAACTGGAGCTATGTCACATTTAAGCTCAGTAACTCTCAGGCTTGTGCCTAAACATGGATTATTAACTACCGTCATATTTGTTTTCTGTTGAATTGCCACTACCTTTAAGAAGAAATTCAGGATAGTTATGTAAAAGCTAATGAAGGAGTATAGTTTCAAGTTGGTGATCAATATATTCATTACTACAAGGAATTGTGGGAAAAGTTCTGAAGAGTGACTTTTTTTTTGGTTTGGAAATCCAATTGCTGCTTACTTGAGGGCTATAAATTTTAAGTGTGATAAATCATATTTCTGGAAGGAAACAATGAGAGACTGGGAAATGGAAAATAAGAAAATTGGTGTGGAGGACACAGATTACTCTTTCAAGAGATATTGATGCTGGTGGAAGAGGAAAGGAGGTAAGAGACTGAAACGGCTAGTTTATTTCAGGATAAGTAAAACTCAGTGGAGTTTAGAGGTAGGAGGAATTTTCTGGTGGAGAAAGGTATTGAAAATAGTGAATGAAAAGAAAGAGTTAAAATGGGTAAAGGTCAAGAATTAACTATTCTAAGAAAACAGATACTTTGACTCCCCTGAAGTAGAGAACATGATTGTGAATATACAGAAATTCTGAAATATGTATTTCCAAATGGACTCAGTTTCTCTGGATCAGATTAAAATGGTTCTGAATGAAAGGAAAAATGAGATCTTGAGAAGGGTTGAAATAAAATTCCGAAAAGTCACTATGGATAATAAGCTAGGGGATTTTTATAATTTTTTGAGCAGTACTGAAGCTTGCATGTTGTATGAATAATAAATATGCAGAAGGAATATTTTAGGTAAAATTGTAGTAATGAAGAAAATTAAAACTTATTGAGTATTTACTGTGAGTGGCAGATACTGTTCTAAGTGCTTTATATATATATATATATATATATATATATATATATAGTTTCATATTATTATTACAATGTTGTGAGGTATTAATATCATCATTCACACATCATTCACACAGATGAGGAAACAGAGGCACTGAAACATTAAGTTGCCTCCCAAGGTAATAATGGAAGGATCTGGCATTTAAACTTGAGTTGTTTGACTTGTGCTATTAAACACTATGTAATAGTGCTGCATTATATTGGAGGATGGGGGGGTAGCGCTTAAATTCTCAAGAAATGTGAGGGTAATATGGAAGTCCACATAGAAGAGCAATAAAGTTAGAAAAAGAATGTTATAAGAGGAAAATATAAACTTCAAATGAGTTGCAGAAGAAGCTGAAGAAGACACAGACCCAGGAAACAAGGCTTATTTAGGCTCATATCAACTTTCCTGAGGGCAGCAAATAATGCTGAATAAAAATATAGAAAACTTTTTAAAAGCATTGAGTGATGGCAGGAAAATTAAACAAGCTGAATCACATCTAAATTTGGTACTTCTTTTTATCAGTACCTTTTTAAGAAATAATCAGGCCAAAATATCAGTTAATGTGGGAAGCCAGTGTATCAATAAAGCCACTTTTGTTCCAAGGAATTTTCTGAGTCTGCTCTTGAGTGTTGGTGCTCAGAGTTTCCGTGAGTTTCAGTACAGAAAGGAAATCTCAATACCCATCCAGTATGGGAAATTTCATATGAAATTCTTCCTCCATAAAGCTATTCCCAGAGTAACCCTCATAGTAATGAGAAGTAATCGTGTCTCATATCCTCTACCCTAGGAACTTAAAAAAAAAAAAAGGTTTGTCATGAGCAGAACAAGAGGGAAAGTTCCTGAAGGGTTAATACTATGAAGTAGCTCTTATATAAATTTACACCCCACATTCACATCACTTAGATGGTCCAAAAAATATCAATTCTTCAACTTAGTTTTAAGTAATACTCTCAGGTACTATGCAGAAACAAATGAAGGAAGGGAAGAATATACTATGTTCCTAGGTCTTAAATGCTTCCTATAAATAATTTTCTTATTAAAATTAGAAGTTTGTAATCATTAAGTCTACAGAGAGAACAGTCCAAACAAGAGCCAGTAGACATAGGTATAAGAGAATGATACCTGAAAAGACTTCACATATTGTAATTCTCAGATTCATGCTATAATATGACCATGATGTTATAATGAAAAGACAAGCTTGGATGTAATTGGGGAAATAGAAGCTAAAAATGTCACCTAGGATTGGCTTAGTTTATTTAGCAAGGTATTCTACAACTCCATCCATTTACCTGCAAATGCCATAATTTTGTTCTCTTTTAATGCTGAGTAATATTTCATTGTGTGTATATACCACAGTTTCTTTATTCATTGCCGCAGTCTGGCTGGGCACAATTCAGGAGCCACTTGTCAAAAGAAACGAACTTTATTTTTAGAACCACACATGCCAAACAAAACAGCTCCTCAGGAAAAACCCTCAGAGCCCAACTGCCACCACCGGCTTCCCACAAGCCTCTCACCCCGACACCAGCCTCTCTCCACCTCCCACAATCCTCCTGCTCTTGAGCCCGATTGGCTGAGTCACGTGGATGGAGCCAAAAAAGTCCCCCAATGAGCAGCTCCGTGGTCTGAAAGGGCAGGGAAACAGCCCAATGAGCATCACTGCAGAGGAGCCAATCAGCTAGATGTTGCTGGGGCCGCTGTGAGCCAATCATCAGCCGGCAGCTGGAAGTTTGCTGGCAGCTGGAAGTTTGCTGGGGCCCCTTCAGCTGTGGCCCGTTTGGCTGTGGCTCTCAACATCTCCCCCTCTCTGTTTAAACAACAAGCATGTGGCTTAGGGACCGTGCCTGCCTTAGGTTGTCCAATACTACATATGGTCCTTACCCGTTATCGAGCTGACCTCAAGGCCTCAGCCTCCTGTCTTAGGTTGGTACCATTGCAATTGGATCTTACCCGTCACTGACTACCGGTCCAGTATACAGCCACACCTGTGGAGAGGTCTTTGTACCAGCAGTGGGAGGTGAGGTTCTTTGCCTCACCTCTGTTGGCCCCCAAATTTTAGCTGTACAATCATGACAAGCAGAAGGGAGGAAGATACACCAAGCCAAGTGACAGCTCCTTTTGGAAAAATTGTACCACCGATGACATCATGAGCAAAAATACCCCAACACTACCACAAGTCGCTGCACCAACAGATAATTCAAAATGCATACAGGTGATACATAGTCCAGGCAAGTTCTGCAAGCAGTTTAGTGATGGCTATTGCAGAAGCTGTAGATTGGTTTTATCTTTGTCTTCACTGGCACTGGGATGAAGATAGGAATTCTGGCAATAATGGCTAAAGAAAACATTATGTAACATTCCAGAAGGCACTAAAAGAAAACAATTTTCTTAACAATTTACATTATCTTGAAGAGAATTATTAAATATAATGAAAAGGAAAGGTGAAAGTAAACAAACAGGTCTGTTAACCTCCTTTTTTGTTCACATATTAAAACAATCCTCAACAATTGTTTACCCAATTTAAATTAAACTATTTAAATCACGTGAATAAAAAAAATATTTGGATCCATTTTTTCATGAGCGCTCATCATATATGATATATGGACATACGTACATTCAAACATATAACACAAAACACAAGTGTGCACACATAATATAATAAATACAACACATAACATAATAGTAAAGGCCTTATAACTTTTTACAGGTGAAATCTCCATTGCAATGTTTAAAAACTCTATAGTTAAAAAAATAGAACTGATCAGCAAAACATTAACCTAGGTCTGTATGAGCTCAAAAAACAAAATAGAACTTCATGATATGGGAAAGGCCAATAATAAAATAGATATTGAAAAAAGCATCCTGGTTCTGTCAGAGATGTAAGAATAGCCAAACTGGAATTCTGGATATCAGCTGTTATGGATTTGAGCCAAATCATCTTCTTTTTGGTCTGTAGAAATCGCTTTAGTTAATCTCTCTGGAATCCAAATCGGCTGCTGTTCTCCCTGTGGAAACACATAAACAGACCCCCGACTCCAGGCAATCACTGGGTCAGGACCTTAGTTAATCTCTCTGGAATTCAAATCGGCTGCTGTTCTCCCTGTGGAAACACACAAACAGACCCCTGACTCCAGACAATTACTGGGTCAGGACCTTTCCATTGTCCTGTTAGAATATCCTTCCAAAGTACCTTGGGCTTATGCACATTTTTTGGACACATGTGCCTTTCCACAGCACTAAGTCCTGATGAATCCAAATTTAAAACTTTTAGAGTAAAAAGGGTTATTTTAAGTTTATCTTTGGGGAATATATACCCCTTCCCAATTCCTTCTTTTTGCTTTAATAAGTACATTTTAATAGTTTGATGAGCTCTTTCAACTATGCCTTGTCCCTGTGGATTCTATGGGATTCTTGTTATATGAGTAATGCCAAATGATGAGCAAAATTGTTTAAAAGAGGAAAAAGTATAACCAGGGGCATTATCTGTTTTTAACTGTTTTGGACTGCCCACAGTGGCAAAATTTTGTAAGCAATGAGCTATAACATCTTTAGTTTTTTCTCTGGCATGAAGGGAGCCCATCAAAAATCCGGAAGAAGTATCAACTGTAACATGCAAA